TTGCAAATCAACCAACATGATAAAAGAAAGGATAAGAACCATATGACCCTGTCAATAGATGTAAAAAACAAAAACAAAAACAACAAAACAACAAAACCCCACACATTTGGCAAAATACAGAATCATTCTTGATAAAAACCCTCGACTAGGTAGGGATAGATAGAACATACTTCACAACATCATAAAGGCCATATACAAAGATCTGTATGGGGAAAAACTGATAGCCTTTCCCCTATGGTCAGGGGACATGAATATTCACTCTCACCATTACTATTTACATAGTACTGGAAGTGCTAGCATTGGCAGTCAGACAACAAAAAGAAATAAAAGGCATCCAAATTGGCAAGGAAGAAGTCAAACTTTCACTGTTTGCAGATGACATGATACTCTATGTAGAAAACCCGAAGGACTCCACCAAAAAAATTGCTACAACTAATAATACAGCAAAGTCGCAGTACATAAAATCAGTTTGAGAAATCTGTTGCATTTCTATACACTAATAAAGAAGGAGTAGAAAAAGAAATCAGGGAATCGATCCTATTTGCAATTGTACCAAAAATAATAAGATACCTAAACATAAACCTAACCAAAGTGGTAAAATATCTGTATTCTGAAAATTATGTAACACGTATGAAATAAATTGAAAAGAACACAAAGAAATTGAAAAGCATTCCATGCTCATGGGTTGGAAGAACAAACATTGTTAAAATGTCTATACTACCCAAAGCAATCTATACATTTAATGCAATCCCTATCAAAATACCACTAGCATTTTTCAGAGAGCTAGAACAATCCTAAAATTTGTATGGAACCACAAAAGACCACGAACGAATAGCCAAAAAAAAAAAAAAAAAAAAAAAAAAAAAAAAAAAAAAAATCCTGAAAAAGAAAAAAGTGGAGGCATCACAATTCTCATTTCAAGCTATATTACCAAGCTATATTACAAGACAGTATGGTACTGGCACAAAAACAGATATATAGATCAATGGAACAGAATGGAGAACCCAGATATGGATCTGCAACTATATAATCAACTAAACTTTGACAAAGCAGGAAAGAATATCCAACGGAAAAAAGACAGTCTCTTAAGCAAATGGTGTTGGGAAAACTGGGCCAATTTCATACATCATACACAAAAATAAATTCAAAATGGATGAAAGATCTAAATGTGAGAAAGGAAACCATCAAAATCCTAGAGGAGAACACAGCCAGCTCAGCTGCACTAACTTCTTGCTGAACATGTTGCTGAAGGCAAGGAAAACAAATGCAAAAATGAACTGTTGGAACTTCATCAAGATAAAAAGCTTCTGCATAGTGAAGGAAACAACCAATAAAACTAAAAGGCAATCGATGAAATGGGAGAAGATATTTGCAAAAGACATATCTGATAAAGGGTTAGTATCCAAATCTCTAAGAATTTATCAAACTCAATACCCAAAAAACAATCCATTTAAGAAATTGGCAGAAGACATGAAGAGACACTTTTCCAAAGATTTCCAGATGGGTAACAGACACATGAAGAGATGCTCCACATCACTCATCATCAGGGAAATACAAATCAAAACCACGATGAGATAGCAATCTCAATCTCACACCTGTCAGAATGGCTAAAATTAACAACACAAAGACAACAGGTGTGGCAAGGATGTGGAGAAAGGGGAAACCTTCTTTCACTGTTGGTGGGAATGCAAACTGGTGCAACCCTTCAGGAAAACAGCATGGAGTTTCCTCAAAAAACTAAAAATAGAACTACCCTATGACCCAGCAATTGCACTATTAGTTATTTACCAAAAAAGACACTAAAATACAGATTCAAAGGGGTATATGCACGCCACTGTTTATAGCTGCATCATCAACAATAGCCAAACTATGGAGAGAGTCCAAATGTCCATCAACTGATGAATGGATAAAGAAAACGTGGTATATAGGCACAACGGAATATTACTCAGCCATCAGAAGGAATGAAATCTTGCTATTTGCAATGATATGGATGAAAGTAGAATGCATTATGCTAAGTGAAACAAGTCAGAGAAAGACAAACACTACATGATTTCACTCATATGTGGAATTTAAAAAACAAAACAGATAAACAAAGGGGAAGGAGTGGGGAGAGTAGAGAGGGAAACAAACCACAACATAGAGAACAAATAGGGTTGATGGAGGGAGGTGGGTGGAAAGTGTTCTAATTGGTGATTAGTATTGAGAGGCACTTGTGATGAGCACTGGATGTTATATGTATGTAAACAATCACTGAATTCTAGTCCTGAAACCAATTATGCACTGTATGTTATCTAACTAAAATTTAAATTAAAAAATAAGTAAATAAAATTTAAAAAATCTATTTCTGTTTTCATGCTATGAGTAATTAATATTTTTCTAAATGAACTAATAAATATTTAAACCTGTTTTCCACCAACTATGGGAAACATTGATAGGTATAACCCACAGACAAAATTATCCTTCGGATCCTTTGTAAGACTGGATAGATATTCTGCGAACACAATGAGAAACACTGACTAACACAGCTCCTGGGGCAGGACTAAGGGAGACAGTGTCACAAAGAGCACCGCAGTAGGAGAGGGGTCTAGGCAAAGTCCCCCGTCGCTGGGCCTGCCTCTCAGGTTTCCAGACACTAAGGCAGTGCTGGGGAAAAGAGGTCGTGTGTACGGGGAGTCCCCATCTTCCACAGTTTTACTTCTCCCAGTCACAGTCTGTGTCATGTCCTCCGGTCTGGATCCTCATGACATAAATCTAGTTCTCACTCCCATTGGATGCCATTTCTAGATAAGCCAATCAGCCGCAAAGCGATTCTGAGTTATAAAGTCTCCTCACCCGCTCCTCTACCAAACTGGGACTCATTCTTCCCAGTCGCTGAGGATGGGGTTAATAGAACCCCAAACGCTCCTCCTGCTGCTGTCGGGGGCCTTGGCCGTGACTGAGACCTGGGCGGGTCAGTGCAGGGTCGGGAGGAAAGGGACTCTGCGGGGTAGGAGCCAGGGGACCTCCTGGCGGGGACGCGGGACCCTCGGGAAAACTGCCTGTCCACTGCCCCGCCCCAGACCCCCACCCGCCCCCTGCCCCGGCCTTTCCTCCCGGGTCCCTCC